AGGGACGGCTAGCGCAGATAGCCCTCGTGTAGCTTTGCGCGAAATTCCAAAACAAACAAACAAACTATATGCAAAGACAGTTCATACACAAAGTCTACTCATACATTCTGCACCAACATTTGCAGTCCACTTGATAGCTTCAATACGGAACCTGTAGTTCTGGAAGTACAATGCCCACTTCATGATCCTCCCACTGTCGATTTTGGTTGATAATCCATCTGGATGATGAACTCCTTCCCATACAGGTAGTTCTGGAACTCTGGGTGCAAATATGATGGCTAGATACACTCATTCGATCACAGAATCGTTCTTACTACTCAATAGCTTTTTAATTACATAAGTTACCGAAAACAGTCCGTCTTCATGTTCTTGTAGGAGTACTGCTTCAATTCCAATGTCTGAAGCATTATCCTGAATGATGAACAGTCTGTTGAAGTCTGGCATTTTAAGTATTTGCAAACTTCCCAACTTCTGGAATGCCATCTGCTGTGGTTGTTCCCACTTCACTTTGTTAGGTAGGCCTTTCTTGGTCAGGTCAGTCATTTGTGCAACAACTTCAGCGTAGTTTGGGATGAATTTCCTGTAGTATCCCACTAACCTCACGGAGGATTTGACTTGCTGCTTGGTTGTTGGAGCTGCCACATCTTGTATGTGGGTTACCTTTTCAATGGTTATCTGTCGGTCGCCCACCTTGTGTCCAACAAACTCCAGCACAGAATAGCTAAAGTAGCACCTAGATGGTCTGATGGTCAGATCTGCTGCACTTACTCGTGTGAAAAACTCTCTAAGTTTTTTTCAGGTGGTCTGTGTGTGTCAGAATGTCATCCACATAAAGCTCAATTTTGGTGGTATTGTGCAACATCCTCCTCATCATGCAGTTGAATGTTGCTGCTGAGTTGACTAACCCAGATGACATCCTCTTAAGTTGGTAACATCCATCTGGTGTCACAGATGCTATCTTCTCTTTAGATCCTGTCTCTATCAGGATCTGCCAATAACCTTTAACAAGGCCGATCTTTGAAAAGAACCTGACCCCATCTAATTTTGCCATGATAGCCCCTGGGTTGGCCATATGCTTGGAGTCAAACTTTGTAAAGAGGTTCAGCTTCTGGAAGTATATGGAGAAGCAGTTTGAGCCATCCTTCTTCTTCACGATCACCACTGGTGATCAATTTGGAGACTCAATGATTCCAGCTTCTAACATTGTCACAACTTTCTGCTTCATCGGGTCTCTCATCGCATAGGGCATCTGATAGGGCTTCACCTTGACTAGATGTCTAGTCGTGGTCTATATCTTGTGTTGCACAAGGTCTGTCTTGCCTGGTCTATCTGTTAAGACATCTGCATACTGGCACAGTAGATCTCGTAGTTCTTTCTTTTGCTTGCTAGTCAGTTCATCGCTGGTATAGACGTCTTTGTATGTCTCCTCTCCACCCAAATGTCTAATGTTTAGCAAGTCTCCATCTTTTATGACAAAGCCACTGTTTTCTGGCTCTGTATCTATGGCAGCCACGCCTGCAGCATCCATTTTTGCCTCAATAACTGAACATGTTAGGTCTTCTTTCCTCTCAAAGTACCTCTTCAACAGATTGGTATTGTAGATCTTGGTCTTCCCATTCATTTTCACTTTATAGTCCATTCTGTTGAGAACTTCGTATACTTCAAAAGGTCCTTTTCACTGCAAGTGAGTTTGTTGTTGTCTATGGGCAGCAGAACTAAGACTTTATGTCGGTCCTTGAAACATCGATCCTTGGCCTTCTTGTCATAAAGTGCTTCTGACTGCCTTGAGCTGCATACAAACTCTCTTGAGCGAATTGTCAGGTCTTTTGCCGTTGGTTTCTGAGGTCTAACACGTACTGGTATGTGTTCTTCTGACTTTCTTGTCCTGTCCATAGCTCTTTCAATATTTGCATCAGACCTTATACTTTTCTTCCATACAGTAACTCGAAGGGTGATAATCCTGTACTTGCTTGTGGGACTTCTCAATAAGCAAATAATACTGTCTGCAGGTATCTGTCCCAGTCACGTGTTTTCTCTCTCTTGGTACATCTTCTTCAGTATGCTCTTTAACACTTCATTAACTCTCACAAAGTCTATTACATCTGGGGTTGTATGGGGTGATAAAGAGCTGCCTATTACTGATGAGTCTGCACACCTCTTTCATCAGTTCTGAAGTAAACTGGGTCCTTCTGTCATGCAGGACTTGATTTGGAAAACCCACAGTGCAGAAGACTTCCAGGAGGGCTTCTGCCACTCTTTCTGTCTCCATCTTCAGCAGTGCTATGGCTTCTGGATAACATGTCACATAGTCGAATACTGTCAGCACACACTGGATGCCTTTGTCAGAAACAGGTGCTAGTGGTCGGATCAAGTCCACAGCTACTCTGCTGAATGGCTCTTCTATGAGAGTCATCTCATCCAGTGGCACCTTGGCTACCTTCCCTCTAGGTATTGTCCTTTGGCAGATGTCACATGACCTGCAGAATCTTGTCAGATCTCTGATGACCCCAACCAATGAAAATTACTAGTTATTCTGCCTGCCATCTTTTTTACTTCTAGGTGTCCTCCCACAATTGACTCATGAGCCGATTTCATCACTTGAGTCTGGTTCTGTTGGTACTATGATCTGTTTAACTTCTTCAGCATAACCACTTTGATAGATTCGATACAGCACTCCCTCCAGATTTCCTAGTGTGTACATCCTATCCCCTTTGTCTTGTGCTCGACTTTCTCCCTTTCTCGCTGTCCCAAAGTTTCTGCAGTGAAGGATCTTCCTTTGTGCTTCCTTCAGTTCCTGCAGACTGACATTGGGGATTCCATCTTTTAATATTTGCAGGGCTTGATGTCTTGCCTGCTCTTCTTTTGTTGAGCTCTTGTGGTGACTGCAGATGCCTCATCCATCTTCGTTCTGTCTGGTTCTTCCAAACTTCTACTGCCTAGTATATTTCCAATCACCAAGTCATAGATGGGTGCCTTCATACACATGACCTTAAGTTCTCCCATATAGTATAGTATGGAGTGTCCA